TCGCTTACCCTTCAGCCGTCTTAGGTGTGAGTATTTTTCTGATTACTTTTGCTTTCAAACGCTTGAAATTTACGTTTGTTTCAAAAATTTCCAAATATCACGTCGGTTTTTATATTCAGCGCTTTGTTAAGTAGAGAAGTGGTTTTTAATTTTGGAAGAGCACATTTTGAATTTAAATTAATCTGCGTGCCATACATTCTTTCACGAACTGATTGTAAATAACTGATATCCCACACTGTGACTGAGTCTAGGTTCCTCTGAATTATGCGAAAGCCGATGGGATTTGACGGCCGTCAGGGAAACTCATAAAGGATGGGTTTAAGTGTGTCATCCGCGTTATGATTACGAATCCGTGTTGAAGGATTAATTTTATCCCCCATGTTATGTTTGATTTAAGTTCATGTATCAGTATCAGGATTACAAGGCTAGCGGTTAGAACGCTGGCCTTGTAATCCTGGGGTTCGATTCCCGGCGGTGCCAGAATTTATAACTTGTGTTGGGCAAGGCCGTGGTCTAGGCAACACGGAGTTTTCCTCCGGGGGCTTCCCCGGTTTCTCCATGGCATCCCAATAATTACTCCATTCACACACAGAAGAAGGCAATGGCAAACCACTTCTGGATCATCTCCCAAGAACGTATATGAACAGGTCCCAGTCCGAGAAAAGGATGGAAGGATCCTGGTCATATGGACCTGTCCTCAGACAGAACACTAAATAATAATAAGATGAGGTGGGCTAGCGGTTAGAACGCTGGCCTTGTAATCCTGGGGTCTCGGGTTCGAATTTATAACTTGTGTTGGGCAAGGCCGTGGGCTAGGCAACACGGAGTTTTCCTCCGGGGGATTCCCCGGTTTCTCTGTGGCATCCCAACAATTACTCCATTCACACAGAAGAAGGCAATGGCAAACCCCTTCTGGATCATCTGCCAAGAACGTATATGAACAGGTCCCAGTCCGAGAAAAGGATGGAAGGATCCTGTTCATATGGACCTGTCGTCAGACAGAACACCAAATAAAATAAAATAAAATAAAATCAGTAACCGTAGGCACTTGGTGCGTGTGCATCGTGTAGCGAATTAACAACAAAATATACCTTCGTTGTCGCCATATTTATATATCAGTGGCGTATCGACTGGAAACACACAGCGCCACTGTGCTCAGCTCAAGACTCCGCCCCCAGACTTTTGGTTGATTTGGTTTAAAGGTGTTAAAACGATTGAAATTTGAAGTGTTTTTATATTTAATTATGGAACACTCACTGGAAACGAAGCCTTGAAATAAATTGGAAGCATGGGTTCAAATGATGCTTTTAGTCGTCCCGAGATTTTTGTGTTATCTACCACGGCGAAAGATTGGTGCATACACTGCACGCCACTGCACCGCGTTATCAACACGTGGGACGTTATTAGCACGTTTCATTTCGCGAGTTTCCATGAAAAGAGCATCCATCACTATTATTCGTGACAATAGGGAGAAATGTGTCAACTGTGGATGAATTGATAAATAGAATTGTGCGAATCAGCGGTGCTTTTCGTTGCAGTCAGACGTGATTTATAGACTACAGAATTTCCATAAAATTATCTTTCACTGAGTTAACAATTTTCTAGAAATACCCTTGTCGAGTGAAGATTGGTAAGCGGTAATTCTGACAGACGAAGTTAGCGATTTTATCCAGTCACTTGAAGCCACTTCCGAGATAGGAGCTTAGTCTTCAGAGGACTTTGTCTTGTCCTCAGGGAAACATTCTGTAGCGAATAGTACCAGATTATTTACATGTGTAGGCCGTAAGACGAATCCGTATTTATATAGCGGTCAGGCTCGCCCGTTTTCAGTAACGGGCTAGCCAAATGGAAGTTACGTTTCAGTACTGAGGGAGCCTGAGGAAAAAATAGGACGGAGAAGAAAGTAGAATTTTGGAACCCTGCGAGCAATATGGAACGCCACTGTTCTCCATGTACATGAGAGGAAACTGTCAGAACACTTAGCAAACCAGCCAACTCGGTCATCAGTAACGCTAGTAGACTGAATCTTGAGGTAACAAGTCTCCAAGATTGACATTTAAGATTACAGAAAACAGATGGGACTTCAAAGATTCTTCTTACGAAGATTCTACTCTATATGCAAATATGCTCTTGAAATATATTCTTCACGTTCATGAAGTACGACGATATAGTTTCAATCTTTAAATCTGTGTCCTTTCACTGTTCAGTTCATTATCTGGTTGTTTTGTATGGGTGCGAAACATGGTCTCTCACTCTGAGGGAGGAACACAGATTGCAGGTGTTTGAGAACAGGGTGTTGAGGAGGATATTTGGGCCTAGGAGAGAACATGATGGGGCGTGGAGAAAACTGCATAATGACGAACTTAAAAATCTGTACTCCTCCCCCAACATTGTCAGGGTGATTAAGTCGAGAAGAATGAGATGGGCTGGGCATGTAGCGCGCATGGATGGGACAAGCGGTGTGCACCTGGTATTGGTCGGGAAGCCTGAGGGGAAGAGACCGCTGGGGAGACCTAGACGTAGATGGGAGGATAATCTCAGACGTGATCTATGGGAGATAGGAGTTGAAGGAGACTGGATTTTGTTGGCCCAGGACAGGGTCCGGTGGAGGGCTTTGGTTAATTCGGTGATGAACCTTTGGGTTCGGTAAGCCATCTGGTTGGTTGGGTCCACTATTTGGAAAGCCTGAGGGGAAGAGACCGCTGGGGAGACCTAGACGTAGATGGAAGGATAATGTCAGGCGGGATCTATGGGAGATCGGAGTTGAAGGAGACTGGATTTTGTTGGCCCAGGACAGGGTCTGGTGGAGGGCTTTGGTTAATTCGGTGATGAACCTTCGAGTTCGGTAAGCCATCTGGTTAGTTAGTTCATTATCTAGTAACTTAATTTAAATGTATCAACTGGGGTTCCATGTTAACACCAACTTTTATCTGGAGGAACTTTAAACATATTTTCAATGAAATTAAAATTTCTGAAATAAAATGCGTTCAATGTTATTTTACTGATAATCAGATAAATGTTGTAACTTTTGTCGTTTAACTTCTCAGATTTAACGGAAAGTAGAACCCTTAAAAAGCCGAAAGCCAGATGGGATTCCGTAATATCACTTTCTCCTTTACTCGTTGCTGCTAGAGTTATCTAAAGACCTTCATATTCAACATTTGTTTTGAAAAGCCTTTGCTGCCACATACAAAGGACTGACCGACATGGGCCATTATTTATACAGCGGCCATGATAACCTAACCTACGAGAAAGAGCTTAATCATCATGCAAGGAGCCTCTCGACACGTAACCGTAAACGAAAGTATGTGGATCGATTACTCGTTGCGAGGTTTGAAAGCAGAGGAACCATCCGATGGTGACTTAAATAGTTGACCCACTTTCGTGGTGGAAGATAGATCGAAAGGTACCCGACTTCGCGGTCGAGTGGTTACCACTCCCTCCTTCCTGATCCTGACAGATCATTTGTGGTTTTCAAAGTCCTTCAACGCAAATACTGGGTTAGTAGTCCACTTTAAATTAAACCACGGCCGTCTCCTTTCACGGCCTTTCCAGGGCAATTATTCAATTCGAAATAATCTAAGCTGTTAACAGTGTCGTTAAATAAACTACGCGTATAGACCGAGAAGCTGTCATAGCTGGAATCTGTACACCCCTGAACAACGCATCGCTAGTTCCTGGGACTATCATTATTTACGTCATCGGTCGACGTCACTACGCTCTGGCGGCATGAGCTGTGTTGTCTTGCTTGAATTACGAATCGCTTCGGACTGTCCGCTCGCTGTCTGTGGCCTGTTGATACAGTTTGTGGAGGCGAAAAATACTCCGAGCGCAAAGTAAAAATGAAATACCTCGCCTGGTAGAAGCCCTTGTTCCAGACTACACGGTTCTAAAACCCAAAATACAGCCGTCTTCCTACTAGCCGCCGTGAGAACCTCAAATTCTACTCGGATAAAATAGTTCTTCAGAAACTCTCAAGTCCTATCGCTGAGACCGTAAGGGCAAGATAGAATTCGGCTTATTTTGACGAAACTCAAGAGGATTAAGGAGGAAACAATTGTTATAGCCTATTTCAAGCAAACATGCCGAAGTGTATCTGTAATTTTCTGAGAATAGTTACGAAGTTTTTCAGTCAAATTGTGTGGTTGGTTGTTTGGCCATGGCACAAACCCGGATATTTACCGAATTTAAAGTGAGTATAACTGATACAAATTACTGAGTGATGTACTGGCAAGGTCGTTTTAATTACTCGTTTATTTATTTTGATATTGAAAGTTTTTATCGACATTTCTTGTTTCAATTGAACGTATTTTCCATTGAAGTTCAAATGAATATCCACCTGAATCTTCGGATGTAAGCCTAAATATTGTCTACAGGGAAGATCTAAGTATCGTACTAAGATGGTCAACTGTTGAACACGAGATGATCATGTTGACAAGATACGAAGAAAAGAGTCTGGGAGTATGAGAAAGTGAGAAAAGGGGGATGATGGAGGACGAGGGAATGAAGCATGCGTGGATGTCGTGATAAATGACAGGGCCCTAAAACACTTTTGTTGGAAGACCTCAAGATAGAAAACTGCTCTGGAGACGGGCGCAGATAGTCGTGAAGACGTAGCGCTGATGATATGATCTCCTATAAACAGTGTGTGATGGTGAGGAACAAGGAAGGAGCCGTTTGAGGCCTGTTTTCAGCGCAAAAACATAAGAGCAGAGAATATCTTAACCACGTAAGCAACAATAAAATGGTTTTCAAATGTTATTTGGAGAACGGACTGTTTCAAGAATTTGGCTGACAAGAGTTCACGAATTTAACCCCGACAGATTTCTTCCTGTGAGGCCTACCGACTATTTTCTATGGGTTTATTGACGGGAAGTATTTCAAAAGGACTGAGGAAATTATCGGTGGATAAACGGAGGGTTTATTGCTTAAAATCTGGTGACACTGGCGAGAGGATTAATTCGCATGAAGATACGTTAATGTTTGTGTTGAGGACTCACCCCGTCAGGACTGTACTTGGACAGAGGTCCTGTCCCGCTGAACTCTTCCAGCACATCTTTCAGCTTCTTGGTTGAGTCTGAAACAAACACGAGTCTGTGAGATTTCGTGTGTCAAACAACAAAAATATCGGTTTTAGGTCTGACTTTTTTTTATTTGAGTGTATACCTAAATTAAATAAAGAAATTAAGTGTTATGAAGATGTAAATTTTCTGATTAAATTTTCTTTTAATCTATTTAAGTTACATTTGCGTTTTTGTTTCCTATGCATAAAAACGGGTACAGGAACCAAAATCATTGTAAGTTAAACAGTAATTGTTGTTACAACGTAAAGATAGTTCAAATATATATTTATTATTCAAGTCTATACACAAACTTTTAAAATTGTTGATGTTAAAATTTAAAATTTTAAAATTTAAAAAATTAAAATTTAAAATTTTAACGATGAATGGCGCAAAATATTAATATTAATTTTAAATTTTATAAGTTTGTGTATAGACTTGAATAATAAATATATATTTTAATTTTAAACACAAACATGACGCATCTAAACTATAAAAATGTAAAGATAGTTATTAAATTGTTTATTCGTGTAGAAAATTTTAACTTTTACGAACAGTAATAAACAGAAATTACATTCACGAAAACATCATGTTAAATTTTGGCCACTAGTTTGCTCTCCGTTTAGCTAGGTCTTTGTGTCTCCTGTCTAAAAACTCTTAAATGTTAAAATAAGTTACAAAAACTAATTTTCATCTTTGAGTTTTATGGTTGAGGAGTTTTGTCTCATCCTGAGAGATGACGGCGAATTGAGAGTGAATGAAATCGCACTACTCAGGATGATGTTAAGACCTAAGTAACAATAGGCTGGAGACAACGAGGACATTTATAACATGCATTCTATACCACACATTTAAAGAATTATGTCATGGACGGTGCATGTAGCACGGATGATAGCAGTGAAAAACTCTTATAGAAATTTAGACGGAACACGAAAGACAGGAGAAAATTTGTGAGGGGGGGGATTGGCGTCGATACGAGGGTAATTTTAAAGCAGGTTATCGGAATGTGTATTGGATTCAGGGACAGCTGGCGAGCCATTTCTAACGCGGTAATTAACCTTCGTGTTCTATAAGCGGAGAGGTGTTGCTGATCCGTCGAATTAATAAGAATCTTACAAAATTTATGAAGAAGTCGTAGACGAAATTTCGATTTGTAAAAAAAAGGCACATACGAGGTGCGATCGGAAAGTTTCTAGACTGCGCCTATAAAAACCCGTACACTTATCTCAGGTATTAAATTCATCCATCACCCTCGAAGTAGTTCCCCTGGGAGTGAACACAACGATCCCAGCGCCGCTGCCAAGCCTGGAAGCATCCCTGGAAATCTTTCTTTGTCAGCCTGTCAAGCACCATCTGCGATTCTGCCTGAATCTCTTCTATCGTCTCAAATCTCCTTCCCTTTAGCTGAATTTTCATCTTTGGGAAGAGGAAGAAGTCACACGGCGAATAAGGAGGGGGCGGGATGACGGCCATTGTGTTTGAGGCCAAAAACTGCCGAACTTTGAGGGCGGTGTGTGCTGGCGCGTTGTCATGATGCGTCGCATGTGGAGTTCTTCCTTTAGAATCAGCTGACAGGTCCCAACAATGTCGCACAAGTCGTTGATGGTACGACTTCGATCTTCGTAACATTTTCGGGCGTTGTGCTCGAAGATGGTCGTCCAGAACTCTCGTCATCATCGACAGAGGTTCGGCCGGCCCTTTTTAAAACGTGAATGCCACACAAACGTTTGTGCACGACCCATTGCGGACTCCCCAAATGCTTGCTTTAGCATTTCATAGGTTTCTGTAGCCGTTTTGGCGAGTCTTTGGCAAAATTTGATGCACACGCCATTCCGAAATCGCAGGAGGGTCGGTGTAATGCACTACCAAAACGCCCGTAACTAAGAAACAAATGCTAATACGATGATGCCGGCTGGCACACTGATTCACTATGAATGTAGGCCGCACCCCCTAGCGGCAGAAGCTCGTACTACATCCGGTTTGCCCTCTATTGACACAGTGTTGAAACTTTCCGATCGCACCTCGTACATTCCACAACGCGGGATAAAATGAAAACCGGGATATTAACGTAGCATGCTTTTTGTCTGGAAGACGTCACTCCTGTGTACAAATATTTAATTAGGTTGGTCTCTGTCTTTTTTTACTTCGTACAAGGGCGCCCGACTGCCAGTTGTCTTTGCAGTAAATTTAGCGCTAACAGAAGACAGAGGCGATTGAATTCAGTGGCTGCAGAACAACGCTGTATGGAGTTGAAACATATCTCGTAACGCCGTTCCCCTTTCTGGAATGTGTGCGTATTTATTGTTCTTTGCGGCAGTGTTTGAAGTGAACTCATATTTAGGATTTCATTTCTTTATTTCAAAATCTCCACGAATATCCCAAAAATTTGGCATGAGGGTTACACATAAAAATTTGTGGAAAGAACGACGTATGAATCTTGTTCCGTGAAATGTAAACCCCATATTCTGCGTTCCTGTAGCTTGAATTATACTAATATGACGTCGGCGCGAACTTCTTAGAAAGAAGCTAGAGTCCTTTATTAAACAGCATCAGCTTGTATTTTTCATTCGCCGATCTTATATTTGTATATTACGAAACGCAAACTGGGCAAAAAATATAGTGCATTTATTCTTTCCGCTCTGTTGTGTTAATATATTATGTTTGGAAACAGAATTAATATTCAAATCAGCAGAGATCAAAAAAAAATTATAATTTTAATGCATAGCGAAGATCTTTGGCATAGACGGAAGGATAATATTAAAATGTACCTTAGTGAAATGGGGTGATAGAATGTGAACTGGATTAATCTCCCTCAGAATAGGGAAAGTTACGTGTTTTTATAATTATCTGTACAATAATCAATGTAGGTTCCCTCGTAACCATTTGTTTTAAAGGATTTCGAGTCTTTTGCGATAATATTTATGAATGTGTGTTGCTACCTGTCATAATATAGTGATCGTTTGCCTACTTGTATTACAACGCAACACAATTATTATGACCTCGATATAAGACCATATTTTTGATTACGTTACATGAAAGTGTATTATATTCTTAATTAGACAAAGATAAGTAATTATGTTTTTTGTTACCCAACATTGCTAATTTTTAGTTTCATGTGCTGCTGTGTGGAAAACAACGAATTGAAACGAAAGACTGTTCAGTCATCCATGGGCTGCTATGAACATGTGCTTCTACAAGACGCAATGAAACATGTTTTTTTTTT